GAGGAGAGGAGAGGAGAGGAGAGGAGAGGAGAGGAGAGGAGAGGAGAGGAGAGGAGAGGAGAGGAGAATGTAGTGCTTTCAGACTACCAGGACAAACAAACACTGGACATAATAGAAAGGGATTTCCAGACAGGAGAAGATTATGGTCTGCCTTTACTGCATGAATATTTTAAATAATAAAGTATGGTTTGGAAACAGGTTTGATATATGCTGGAAAGGAAATAAAGACAAAATCTGGGTGGATCAGAGTCCCAAGTGGGACATAAAGACCATCACCTTTAAAGCCGAGGAGCCTGCGTTGCTGAAGAGCRAGGCTGGGCTGGCACAGACTGTGGTCCACATGGTCCTCTCCATGGAGATATCAAGGCAGGCTGTGGAGAAAGCTGGGCACAAGGCATAGGATAGAGCTGCACAGCTGTGGGCAGGTCTTCCCTTTCTGCAGGATCAGCTCATATTCATGGCTGATCTGCCCTGTTTATGCATTGATATCACGGGTCTGTGATAGAATCTGCTGAGTTTGAAGACTAATTTTACTGCTTTTCTGTTGCTGTTTTCCTAAGGAAAATCCATAAAAATCCCTGAAYCACAAATTCACAAAATTCACAATTCACAAAATCCCTGAATTCACAAAATCCCTGAAACTTAAGTTTGAACAGGATCTGGTATATTATCMAGGTATCTACATCATTACAGGTCAGCATTGACATAAGCTAGTAGTCCCCAAACTATGACTGTATTTTATATGCAAAAACTTTTTTTTCTTTCAGCACTAGGTCAACTTCTGTTGCAGAGAAGGTCCAAAAACAGTTCTGAAACTCCAGAATGCGTTTGGGATGAATGATATTTTTGCCATTTATCAGTAAATGAAGTGACATATTTGTCATTACTGTGTTTGGGTTAGGAAGGATGGATCAGATAACTGACATCACTGGCGGTATGAGAGGCTAGAACTGAATTTACTCTGTTTATATCTGGACACTCTGTAKTCTCTAGTCTATTTTTCTGGGCATATCAAGGACTGACATTGTTTTTGTTCTTCTTTAAATTTAATGCACTCGGGATATAATGGCTATATTAATATACCCATTAAATTTAAAATGCCCAGGATTTATCAGGAAATATATAGCTATGCACAGAGTTAAGCTAAGATCTTATAAGTTCTAAGATCTAAACTGAGATCTGCTTTTGCCCTAAAGAAAATCCCACTGAATCTTTCAGGATGCTGTAATGGTCTTTGAAACAATGACTTCTTTGAGTTTGTTGAAAAACTTACTGGCATGCAGGCACTGGATCTTGTAGATGTCAGGATAAACAGTGGAAGTTGAGAAAAAAAGGTATTTTTTTTTCTGCTATATATTTAGAAAAAATATACTCAAGTACTTTCACCTAAATCCACATACTCTTATATGAGCCACRTGAAATAAAGTGAGGGCATATGTTTTTTTACACACCTTTACAGGTAGGTATCTAATAAGAAAAAAAAATATGTAGAAAAAAAATATTTTGACTTTAGAAAAGCCTGCTCTACCACCTGCTAACTAAAGGGAAAAACTTGGGATCTGTGTCTTCATGGTGTTATCACTATTTCTAAGTCAGCTTTTATGTACTTTACTACTRACAGGAAAACACTCAGCTCAATAAAGGATGTGAAGGGGCAGCACTGCCCCATTTAGGGTGAGAAATAAAACATGAAGACTCTGCTTTTCACAGAGATTGTGTTAATCCTTGTGAAGTCTCTAAAACAACTCGTTTTAATGGATTTGTCTYATGTCCTTCAATGTCCTAGATACACTTTTTCAGTTACTTTCTTTTTTCTGGGGCAAATGTCCCTAACCCAGATTTAGGCAACACTGCAAAATATCTCATTGTGGATTTGATATCCAAATTAAGTTATAGCTAGATATATGAACACATCTGTGTTTTTACGTCTGGGTGTCTGTAGTATTTTTGAAGGAAATTCCATTTTTGTATTTCATTTTTACTATTCAAGGTTTTTTTAAGGAATTAGTAAAGCTACAATTGTGATCAAGTTATGAGGTTGTAAATCAATAGGGCTGTAGGTTGAAAATGTGGTTCTCTTCTGGACTTTAATAGATTTTGTTTCCTATGTGCTATGAAAAGTGAAAATATGATTTATTGAAACTTCCTAACTTGTTTATTTGCCAAGAACAGAAAGCACATGTCCTCCTGCTTTGTGGTTAAGCAGATGTAACCAATAGATAAAACAGATTCAAAATGAATGCAGAGACTAAGAAAGAGTATGCTTATAATGGTGATGTTTGATCACATACTAGGTGAAAGACAGTTATTTTACTCTCCTCTTTTTGTTTTGAGATGGATAGAAATCATGTTTGCTTATATGTCTGTGCTKTCCTCATCACAAGTAGATTTCCATGTTCCCAAAAGTTTTGTGCAAAATCATAGCTGTAAGATGCTAATAGTAACACATAGTTCTGGACAGACAAAGAGAAAAGAAGCCCGAAGTGGGTCAGGATCTCTTGGATCCCTCTAAGCTATTCTATGATTCCTTTGTAAAAGCTAATTACAGGACAAGGATTGATTCTCTATGTGTTTGTAAAAGAAGCCGACGTGTTCTTTCCACAGTCCACCRAAGCACATTTGAGCCTTAGGATACAGAATCTCTGCTTTCTGTTGCACTTGGGTAGGGATTTGCAGGATGATTCAGACCCTTGCACAGATCAGTATGGTCAGCAGTTCCTTCTCTGAAGTTTTCCAGCTTTCAGGGTTGCCCCAGCCTTTCATAGGAAAAAACTTATCAGTTCATCTGGAGGCAGCTCCAGATGCCGGGCAACAGTGTGACAGGTGTGCAGACTTCTGGAAAGGTTGTAAATTATTTGAGTTTTGGGTAAATGGTTAATGTATCTCCAATTCCTCACAGGGTGGTAGAGTTCAAAGTTTTGGATCTGAAAGTTGCTGAATCACCTACAGGAAGCAAAGCCTCAGAAAACAGATATATGATTAATATTTTGTGTTGATGTATTACATTTATACTGTAAATCACAGTGGGGAAAAAAGAATAGAATATGCATGTTTCTGGGAAATAATTGTGTGCTTGCTTGTGTAAATCTTTAAAAGGAGGCTATGTGCTCTGTCTATGAAAGTTTCACTCACTGCCATAACTTCGTGACCAGCTGAAGTAGATATTTAAATCCATATACTCAATTGATTAGATTATAAGACATTAATTAATCCAAGTTGCTCATACTTTCCAGCTAAAGAAAAAATCTACAGAAGTATTTAGAATTTGTGTGCAAATTCTATAAATTTTAAKGCAAAATACAGGATCACTTAGCTTTGGCTTCACTTGGCTCTGCTGAGGTCTATTTTCTGCTTCCATCGTTGACTTCTCTGGTTTCATATTTTCATAAAAAGTAAAAGAATATCAGAACTAAAGTAAGAAAAATACCCATTCTATTAAATGATATGCCTTTAGAGATACAGGACATACAACTTGCATTTTTATTTAGCTCTGATCAAAAGTTGGTCTTGGGGAACAAGAAAATTTTGCAGAGTATTAAAACCTCTAATTGCTGTAATTTCCAAATCAATATTGCTGTTTTTGTAAGTGATTAGGATTGTGACATCCTATTTCCTATGCATACTGGCAGGSAGGGCACAAGAATTAGCTTACCCACTTAATTTCATGAGATGAGGTTTGTGACAGTCTGTGAGGTTGTTCTGACTTGTGTGGTTGGAGTGGTGTAGGAAGCTGACATTGACCTAGATTAAATGTGGATAAATGAAAAAAAAAAAAAAAAAAAAGCTTATAGTTGAGGCATCCCAGTCCATTTAGCCATCAATAAACCATTAAATAAAGTGACAAGAAATGCTTGTCACGCTTTCTTATACATAAAGATGAAGAGCCAGACTCAAGACAGAGTCTTTCAAAGGAGGTTGTGATGGAGCAGCAGTCAGGCAGTACAAAAATTACTCCTTCCAGTTGTTTGGAAAGACAGGATTTCTGAAGAAAGTTGCAGCGTTTTTCCTCTAAAGCAGCATTTCCAAGGTGAGATGAGTGGCAGGGGAGGCTTTTGTCGGAGCCACAGAGGGATACTCTGGATTAGCACTGTGTGCGCTTGCACCAGTGTGGGATGCAGCTGGGAAGCATTTGGGCTTTAGCTCACCCTGTGATCTGTGAGAACCTTTCCCACTCCACACTGCTGTGGACAGGTTTCAGCTTGTTACTGTTGGTTCCTGCGATGCTGCTCCTCATCCTCCTCGTTTGCATTGATCGCTGCTGCTGGTGACACTCACACGCCCTTTGATAAAGAGGCTCCCGTCCCTCTACAAGCCCCATTATGGACCCACTCCTATTTGAGACGTTCATTAGTGTCGCCTGCCAAAAGGTTTATGTAACAGATGTTGTGAAGTGGACACACAGGAACACTCACACGCACACGTAGGCACACTCGTGCTCACACACCACGCATTCTCCAAGGGCTTTCGGAACGACAGTGAAGGGAGGATGCTCTGTGGCACCGGAGTAGCTTGGAGGCACAGCTGCATCCGTGAGAAAAAAAGCAACTAATGTCTCTGTGTGACCATGCTTTATTTTCAGCTTGTCATCATGGCTGGGACTGTTCTGCTCGCCTACTACTTCGAATGCACTGACACTTTCCAGGTGCATATCCAAGGTTTCTTCTGTCAGGATGGCAATTTGATGAAACCCTACCCGGGAGCAGAGGATGAGAGCTTCATCTCTCCCCTTGTGCTGTACTGTGTGCTGGCTTCAACTCCAACAGCTATTGTAAGTATAAGGAATCATTTTAATTCTTTGCTGTTCCTCTGCAATAGTAATAATCCTGACATATTCCTGTGTCTCCTTTCCTCTTTCTTCATCTATAATTGATTTGCACTTAGCTGGTTCTCTGTTTTGCTTTATCCCAATATAATCTTCATCAGTTATTTCCAGCACTAATTTTTCTAAGACAATCACAAGGAAAAWTTGAGGGTAGAACTTGCTAAGCCTGTCACAATAGCTCATTCTGGTGATCAGTTGTGAATTATGTGATTCTAGAGAGGCCTAAATGTAAAGGTGATCTGTTTCTGAAAATWAAACGAGTAGGATAAAGTTGGGCTAAAATCAGGAACGCACATGCCACATACCCAGAATTATTTCTTCCTGTAGTAAATGAATTGCTAAAGGGCTTTAACAGGCATAGATGAGCTGGAAGRTGCTCAGTTAACAAAGTTATGTATATTCTTTCATCTTTATTTACAATATTTTGGACAGCCACATGCATTTAGCTTTCTCTGTTAGTTTTAAGCCAGCTAAAATGTAGCTCTTTACAGCAGGTGAAAATATTAAATTAATGAATACATACAATTCTGAACTGATTATTGCAGACATTGTTTAGCAAAATGTTGACTTTTTCTCTTTTGCTGTACAGAAAGTTTAAAATTTCAGCAACAGCCAGCTTTGCTGCAATTATAATTGCTTTGATACGTACTTATCAGATTATCTCTTTATGCATTTTATCTTCTATTTCTTTCTCTTTATTTCTTTGTTAAATTTACTATTTCTTTCTTATCTTAGCTTTGCTTTCACAGTCCTTTCAAAAGCTGATTAAACCTGTGTGTGTGTTTTTAATTGTGAGAGATGGATGCTGCACAAAAGAGACATAATCCGTTTTTGGTTTTTGTCTGCAATAATATTAATAGTGTGAAACAAAGAAAGTGATAAGAAATGTCAAAGGGTTATGCAAAAGAGTACAGATTTTCATATTTCACTTTCTAAAAACGAGTAAGGAATTTTAATATAATACTGCCATGCACTTATGAAAAATCTTCTGCAGTAACAGTTTTATTTTCAGCATTAAAACACAATTGAACATTAAGACATATTCACTTTTGCTTCATGCTCCCTGCTTCATGCTTCACTGAAACAGGATTTGCTAATAATAATAATAATAATAATAATAATAATAATAAAGAAATATTATATTTCTTCAAGTTTTCCTGCCAAAAAAGTAGGGAATTTGAGAGACATTTCCATTTCTAGATGCAATATTACTGAAGTTAGTGAACAATTTGTCCCATTGTGTGATATGGCATTGGGTTAGTAAATAATAGTAAAAATGTTATTCTTTATTTTGATTTCTTATTTTAAAATTTGCTCTGTCAAATTTTGCTGAAAACTTTTCAGGTTTTTCTCTACCCACCGTGGATCACCTCACTCAATGGATTAAAATTTTGTTTCTTTCATTTGAGTGGCCTACAGAGGATTTTTCTTAGTTACTCTCATTTATGAAAAAAGGGTTGGGGTCATCCTTGGAACATAATAATAATCGTCTCTGTCCCTGGGAGATGAGCAGTGATGGCTTTATGTTTCCCTTGGCCTGCGTTAACATGGGAAAGGAGTGATGAGAGTGTTCTGCTCTGCCATAGCATTCTGCATGCTGTCTCTRCAGCTTCAGTCTGCCCTATGTCTTGTCTCATGAGAGGAATAATTATTGCTAGGGAGAAAGCAAGGAATCTAGTGGCAATGGTTCTAATTAGCAGTCTTTTGGTGCTATGGGAAATCATGCAGGAGCTTGTGCAAGCTCACTCTGGTGAGAGGTTACTCGTGGAGGCAAGCAACGTTTCGGTGCAGCCGTGTGTCAACTCCCTGGCAACAGAAAATGCTCTTGTGGATTGCTGCTACCATACATGCTTTTCCCCAACCCCATGTTAAGTAAACAAAGGAGACAGGCCTGTTTTTCTGCATTTTATATGTTCTTATTGAAGCACTTCATTATACTGACCCCATGTAACTTTTTTTTTTTTTTTTTTCTGCTATACTGAGCTGTTAATCAACATACATAAGAACTGGATAAGTCTTTTGATGCTCTGACTGATAACCTTTTAGTCTCTGATGATAAGAGGTCCTTGAGAGAAAAATTGCTTGAATCTTCTGGTGATACTGTTAAATATATTAAAGGGGTGTATGCCTGTTTCCATTCTGTGAAATGCACTTTCCTCTCAAATGTTCCACTGAAAATAGGTCAAAGTCTTTCATCTGCCGTTTTCATATTAAATTTTCTGAGTGACTGAAATTAGTGGCTTTTCTACAAAGTAGTAGGAAAATGGTAATTTAAGTGATAAATTGCACCTAAGAGAGGACAAACCTGTTTTTCTTTTCAAAGAAACAAGCTGCCATTTTATTTTTGATTTAATGATTTATCCTCTTAAACCTGTATATTAAAACTCAGTGAATTTTTYCATCAGCAATGGTAGAAAAGAGTGGTTACCAAAATCACTGTCTCTGTTTTAGAATTAAGTTGTGCTTTGTCTGTAGGTTCTGACACCACAAAAAAAGCTTCATAAAATACGTAAAGTTTCACCTTCATCTGAAGTAAGTTGTGCAAGCTGTACTGACATGAAAGTTGGTTACTGAGCTACTGCTAAATCCCCAGTCTTTCTCTTTTCTTATGGAGATGGATATATGAATGTTTTCAGCCCATTTCATGATAAAGAAATGTTAGGATTAATTCATTTGAATTCCAGCAGTAGGAGCACATCTTTCTCCAAAGGATGGTAAACATTTGAATGAGCTGACTACCAGTCTGTCTTTGTGGCTGGGAAAGGCAATTGAGGAGAATGTTCATTTCCATGGAACTATAAGAAAACCACAGAACTTCTTCAGTCAATGTCCCAGACATATTGCAAAAGATCAAAAGTTTCCAACTTTCTAAAATCTTGTCTTAGCCTTTACAAGGACCTACAGCAAAATGATTGCACATTCACGTTTCTGATCTCTCAGATTAAGCCCTACAGATCTTTAGACTACCCCTCCTTTTGGAGGTCATTCTTTGATATGGAGCTTAATAAGAGAATAATTGCTTTTTTTTTCAGCTTTGGAGCTCTAGAATGCAAACTCTTTTCTTGAAGTAAACATAGCAAAGACATTTTACTCAGTTGACTTTAAAGTCGTAAGAAACACAAAAATTAAAAACAACTTAAAAGTTTGAGTGGAGGAGCTTTGACTTTAAGTTGCAATCTTACCTGATGAAGTTAAAAGTGTTTTGCTAAGCAGCATCAAGTTTTGCACAATCTGAGGGAAAATGGTTCACTGCCTTGTCAATTTCAAAATATCAGACACGTACTCTTTCAGCTCATGTGGAGCAGAAATAATTTTTATTTAATTTTTGCCAATGTAGGAATTTTACAAAAATAATATTTGAAGAGGAAATGTTTTCAAGCCATTCCCTTATAATCAAGGAGGACTCAAACAGACTTATTAATGTCTATCAAGACTAACTTTCCAACATATAGGCTTACTAGGAATACCCTTATTGCTACTAAATAAAGATTCAGAGCTTAAAGGTGCTTTGTGTATTGTTCCATCCTCTGTGGTTTGTCTGGTTACTTGAGAGAGGAAGAAAGGCTTAGAAAGAAAATATATTCACTGAAAAGTATRCTAAATATTAGTCAAAAACACCATATTTAGCTTCTTTACAGTATAATAAAAAGTTCCCCCGTGACTTTCAAAAAATCTCCAGCTTCTTTCTTTCAGTTTCTGGAGCAGAAGTGGCAGCCTCCACAGAATTATTAACTGGSTGATGCAATTGATGTAATTAATTTATGCAAAGGACTATTTGTTTTAAGATAGTTTTGTTGGAATCAGCAAAAGAAAACAGTGATTTGGTTATGAATCAGAGGCTAGCAAGTAGTGCTGATCAAACATATCTGATACATGAGAAAACTGTTCAAATTTCCCTGTGGAATTTGAACAATTTTCCAAGTTGCAGAGAAAGTTATTATTATTATTATGATGGCACATATCTAGAAGGCAAGGCAGGAAACTTCTCTGCTATGTGGACTAAGTCCCATGTGGCAGCTCAACAGCAGATGCCAAGGAAACCAAGCATGGCTTGTTCAGCTCAGTGCTATGGAACACTAGGGGACAGAACAAGAGGCAATGGGGAGGACTGGCAATTTTTTTAGGRAAAAGCATGTCCCAAACATACCTATTTTCCTCCTTGTAAAAAAAATGGTATGTCCCTTTTCTGTGGAGTTCTATAATACACAGTACTAACAAACTCTTCATTTTTAGAATTAGTAAATTTTTAAATTTACTTCCAGAGTGATCTCAATTCAAGATATTTTTGTTTGCTTCTTACTTGTTTTGTTAGGAAATATAGCTGAGATTGCTCATGGGGCTAGGATGGAGGTATAAAACCTCACTGCAGGTCAGATTTCCTTTGAAAGTGGTATTTTTTCTCCCTCTTTTTGAGCCTTTGTCATTCACTATATGGCAGCTGAAGTCCTTGGCAAGGTGAGTTGCCTGTGTGCGGTTGTTTATTTTTGGTATTTGCATACCTTTCTGGAAAGTAATAAATATACCTTGTTGTTTGTTACAGCTCTTTCAGGCTCTTTTACAGCCAATGTCTTATAGGACTTTCCTCAAGTTCCATGCCAATTTCAATGGAATATGTGCAAAGATAGGAGACATTTCCCCTCTTGATTTCACTGAAATTTTGGAGTTTAATTATTTCAGACTGTTTTCCTGCAACAAATTGTTTTTGAGAAGAATGATAGTCAATTGTTGTTTGGGGGCAGTTGTGGATTGCAGCCCTTTTGTCTTGCAGGGAATAAAAGAAACCAATTTATCTTATCTAGAAAAGTGCTTTATAAAGCTGTTCTTTGTTATTGCTTTCACTTCAAAGAGCAAAATAACAAAATGAACTAATACATAATTGAATGTAGGATTGGGTTTTGTCCTCAGCAGATTGTGGGTGAGTTTACTCTGCAATGTTTAATTGCAAA